AAGTCGAAAGCGAAATGCCACGCGATTTTATTTGATATGTGGTGGAGTTTTGTAAGTTCAAAGGAGGAGAGAAACTAAGAAATACATCTGAAATCAATGCCAAATGTGTGGACTCGATTTTTCTGAAACGTTAATCAAGAGAAAATAATCAGAAAATGTCAAATCAAAATGGTATTAGTAATTCTAACCTACAATTTATGTTTTTTTCATGACAAAATATAAATAAGTATGAGTAGTTGGAGGATACTTAAAAACCCAGAATACCTCAGTTTAATTTATTTACGATTCTATTAAGTTTTAAATGTTCAACAATTTTTATATAAAATCAAACTATTTTTGCCTGCATTCAAATGCTATTGAGAAATACTTTATTGTAATTTAGCTGACTGATTCGGAGTTATTTACAAATTATATTGCTCATTTCCACACTTTTCCTGACCTGCCCTTCGATATCGTTGCCCCCTTTGCTCTTTCCCATTACTTGTCTGTCACTTTTGATAATTGCATGACGCGTTTTACACGCGACTTGAGCGCGATTTTCCAAACATTTCGAAATACACCCACACACACACACGCAGGCATTTGTATGGATACATACATATACATATATATGTACGTATACTCACACAGTCGAAAGGGACTATCGATGGCGTATCCTTACAAGGATTTGCACTTAACCTGCTCCACTTGCAGCCCAACTCTTGGCATCGATTGAGATTGCAGGGAAATGCGAGGAAAACTGTGAGAAAAGCCGTCGAGAAGCGAACAAAAAACGGCTCCTCAAGTGGAAGCAATCGCTCAAGTTGCAAACCCTTTTTGTATGTGTATGTGTGTGTGCGGGTGTGTTTGTGTGTGAGTGTGTTTTTTTTTCATGGGTTTTTCCCTTTTTGTTTTTTCCTGCCACCTGCTGACGTCACTATTGACCCACTTGCAAGCCGAATCGAATTCGCATTCAAACAGCTGAACAACTGAGAAGGCAAAGATGAAGATACATGCAGAAAAATATTTGAGATGGATTATAAATATATAATTTCAATTAAAATTTAATTTGGTATAATTAAGAATAAGACTTGTACTGAAATTTTTGTTATATTATGAAGTAGTTTATTTTTCTTAACTTGAGGGACTTAAAATAAATAAGATATCTTTTTGTAAAAGTGTTCTTCAAAATGAGATAAACGCAAAGCAAGCAGTCCCTCTGCTCACATTTCAATCTCCTGCCGGCTGCCTGCCTCGGATTCCGTTGCTTGCATTGATAAATATGCCAAATCGTGGGGCACGTCCTTAGACCTTCGATCAGATCCAAAAGGACACGTGCAACAACCTCCGACAACCTCTTCACAAAAACAAAACAGTGCGAAAAACAGATGAGAAAATTAAGGCAGTAAATAATGGGTGTGGGGTTGTAAAAAAGTTTTTCCATTCCCTTTTCGTTTTGTTTGCCGAGTTATTCTGTCAAAATTTATTTAAATATTCCGCCGAATTTCCTGGAATACTTTTGGGTGGGAAAAAGGGGAGAGGGTGGGGGGTGAATTAGAAGGGGTTTGCACCCCTCGATAAAGTTCTCGGCGGTAAAACGCTTCGCGTTAAATAATTTCCCCAACAGTCATTAAGTGCAAGAAAAAAACACTTCTCGTCTCTTTTCTTGGCAGCGACAAATGGCAGCAAATTATGATGCTGCTCTTAAGTTATTCTGACGAAAGGAAAATCCCAAACCAAACCCAAAACCAAATTCAAACCCTTACCCCATCAAACGTAAACTCTTCTTTATTTTTACCCAATTTTTCTTTTCACTCTCTCTTGTTTTTTTTTTTTTTTTTTTTTTTTTTTTTTGGAACTTTCCGTGCTGCCAACAATTAATTGAAATTAACATATTTTTCTTCTTTTATTTGAGACAACTTTACGTCCCTCCCTTGACCGCAGTGCCACGCCTGACTAACTTAATTTTCCCCGGGTTTTCCTTCTCCTTCGCAAAAATTCAAGCACTGCGGATTAATTTTCAGTGTCCAAAATCAGCAAAAAAAAAAAAAAAGAGAATTAAGCCACTCGGACCAATTATATTGTTGCCAAAAGTTGCCAAACTGATTTTGCAAGTAATTCAAAATTTTGCTAGTATCCCATTTCGAATTCTAGTGGGGCAGGTAGTAAACTTTCTCATTAAATCCGCTTCCGGGAAATTTGTAATCGGATTTAAGTAATGTGGATTCCATGTAAGCCAATAGAGTTGTAAAAAGCTTTATGACGAAATCGGCATTTTATTGCTTTTGCCTTTAAATGTTGATTTTTCCTTTCATAAAAGCAAGGCTTCTCATAAAAATTTAAGGCTGAGAAAAGCTGAAATCAGCCACAGCTTAAATTCAGGCACTTTTTACTTTCCTTAATTAAAGAGATTTAAATTCCATTTTTTCTCCAACTGTTTAGTTTCCAAACTATTTATATAAACCAACAAATAAAGTCACAAAAAGTTTTCCTAAACTCAGTTTATCGATGGCTTTTAACTTTTTGGCAACTTTGATGACAAATTGCATGTTAAGCGGGTTCCAAATTAATTTTCCAGAATTGTTTATGGCCTGTAAGTGAAGCGCTTTCATTTTTGTGGCACCTTTAATGAGCCAGACTCAAAGGCGGTGGCGCAGCCAAAAGGGATTTCCCCAATTTCCCGGCCAGCGAATTGAGCCTGGGGAGATCCTAAGAAAGTGGAGTGCGGGGCTTTTCACAGTCACATAATAAGGACATTCCTCATACGCCACCGATTCCCCAGTTGCTCCATTTTGTAGCGCTTTCAGTTGTTGTAGTTATATATACGAGTATACTATATACATATATATATAATTTTGGCATTGTTGTTGTGGCTGCTCGTTGGGCCCAGTGCCTTTATGAAAAATTATACAAAACTTTTTACTTAGTGGCACGCGGGCTCTGAACAATTACGAGGCCATCAGGGAAGTTGAAGGCAAAAGGCAGCAAACAGCAAACAGCAGGCAGTTGGGTCAAGTCAAGGGGTCGGCAAATAAATAACGTGTTTGTAATAAGCCAAGTCTGCTTGTGTGTTTTCCCTTCCATACTATACACTATATTATATATATATATATATATATAATATATATATATACTTATATTTGATTTGGCCCCCTTAAACGATGCAGAAAGTTTAGAGAATAGATATGCTAAAATAATAGCGGGCCCAGTTGAAAATGGGGAAATGGCTTTTTGCTGGCTGGCTTATCGCTGCGAAACGAAATCTGTCAGTTTTCCACTAATTAACTGAGTGGCGAACAATGTCCAAGATTTATGGGTATTTTTTTTTTTTTGTTCTTGCTTGGCTGAAATTTACTTAATTACAATGCCACCACACTTGCCTCCCCCGTCGAGTGGCATAAATCAGGGCAATTACTTGAGAAACTTTGCTTCTATATGCCCGAACATTCTAAAAACTTTTCAAGCATTTGCCGACAAGATTTCCTTTTTAAGGAGGCGGCTTAATTTGATTGCTAAAATATGTGTTCTCGTTGGCGACAAGTTTAAAGTGTGTGATCTTAGAAGTTTTACTTCTCTATTGTTGGTGGCCATAAACAAGTTGGGAAAAGTATCTCATCAAATTGCTTTAATATTCTTTGTTCTTCAGCTGGAAATCAATATTTGAGGCAAGCCGAAAAGTAGGCCACACCGTTCAAGTGATTTTGTAAGTGAACAATCTCAGTAGGCTATGCACTGTATTGCATTCGCAACTTAGGGAAAATCTCTGCCAGGGCTTTTCTAATTACGCACTTTTGGGAAATTCTTTGCCATTCCATGCCGTCACCTGCGAAACTTTTGGCATTTCTGTGGAATTCAATTTCAAAGCTATATCATTTTCATTTAATTTCACGCTTTCAATTTGCGACCCACACAAACAGTTGTGGAGGGGGAAAAAGGGGGGGAACCGCATCCCTTTTTTTTTGGGGTGGGACATCACCCACTCACCGGGGGTGACCCCCATTTCAGTGGTGACCCCGTCTCATGAAGAAGAGCCGAGCGGCACATGCCAAAGGTATGCCATAATGGATTTTTTGCCGTTGTTTTCCTTCAGCCACCTATTGTCTGTAAAACGAAACCGGCCCTTGTCCCATTTTCCCCTCGATTTTCATCCATTTTCCAGCCCGGAATCAAACCGAACCGTAGCGAACCGCATCGCCCGTCAATTTAGCACTTTCAACTAAACACACGTGCCTCTGTGTGTTTTTGGAATGGATTGGGAAATGGCATAGAAAGCAACGTGGAAAAAAAGAAAGGGGAAAAGGTTAACAAAAAAAAAAAAAAGGAAAACTGCACATCGCTTTCATAGGGCAAACAAGAATATCCATGACCAGGTCAAAGGGCATAATCAAGACAACGAATCTGATTGCCCTCGCGGAAAAAAGCATATGTAAAATATCAAACTTAAAACTATACAGATTGCATCCTTTTTAATACCTTACTTGTTCTGACAGTTTATGCCTTATAGTTTAAAATTTGATTGTTATTAAAACATTGAATGTGAATATTAATAGCAATATCAACGAACTATACCAAAATCTCAAAAAACATATATTCCCAAGAGTAGACTAAGGCACAAAAATCCTTTATTGACGATAACAAAGGTGGGTTTTTATTTTTGATCCATCGAACCTGGCAGCAGTTTTTCAAAAAATACTTCAAACAAACATTTTAGCACCGGTGGCAATAAAAGGATTTTTCAATTTACGAAAAACCTTCAAAGCGAGGGCTTTTGTTTGACTAAGTGTGTGTGTGTTAGTGTGTGTGTGTGCGTTTGAGACTTTCATGAAATTGGTCAGCAAAAATTTGTTTTGGCGTGTAAATTGAGCAGTTTTTTTTGTTTTGCAGCCATTGTTTAAGTTTCGCGAGGTTGGGAAAAACTGCGGAAAATGCCTTTTAATCATTTAACTAACGTAATCAATTCTTTCTCTTCCTCTCTCTTCTTTTCTCGCTTTTTTGCGTCCTTTGTAAATTGCAATTCACAGCGCCAAACTTTTGATTAATTAAAAGTAAAACAAAAACAAAAAGCCGACAGCCAACCAAGAACACTGGCTTCTGGCGACCAACAGGCATCGAGAACAACCACAACAACGAGAGTCCTGAAACTCGCCCACAAACAACAACTTCACCTCCAGGAAGTTAAACAAAAACAAAAACAACAAAAAAATACACAAACGAACAAAAAAAAACAAGTAGGAAAAAGCTAAACTTTGACAGAACATCAACATCGAAATGGAATTGGCCATCAGAATTGTCAATCCGCAGTTAGCCCACTTCAGCAACAACAACAACATCTATAACATCATCAACAACAACAACAACAACAGTATTTACAACAGCAATAGCAGACAACTAATAACCAACAGTAGCTGCAATTGCAACATCAACAACAACGACGAAAACAACAATCCCAACAGTGACAACTATTTAACAACGATAATATCAACAGCGGCAAGAACTGCGATAACCACAGGCAACAACCAACTGGCTGCAACAACTTGCAACAACTTAGCAGCAGCAAGAACAACAACGGCGACAACCACTCGAAATGCAGCAGCAACAACCGTCCAACGACCAGCTGCTCGAGCCAATTGCTTCCACCAGCAACGCGGCCAAAACTAAGCCGTCAATTGGCAACAACAATCCGGCAGTAACAACAACAACAGCAACAACAACCACCAACAATTTCCACCAACAACTGCAGGCAACAACGGCAGCAACCATGCAACGTCTACGAACAACTTTTACGCGTTCGCGCACTCCAACTGGAGCCGAAATGAAGATGCAGAACAGTCTGGAGGTTCCGAAGCAGGTAAAAAAGGTGGATATTGGATCATTTTCGCTATTACTGTTTGTTGTTGAATGCGGAATGCCGATTCGTTTCGTCTTGGTTCGTTTTTAACTATTTTCATTTTACTTGCTTTTATTATTTGCTGTGAACAATTGGTGATTTCTTTGGTACTGAGCCACGTTGGGCGCCACTTTTTCCAATTTACTGTCTTGCTTTTTTTCTGTGTTGTCAAATATTGTAAATATTTTTCTGCCCCTGTGTTGTTTGTATAGAGAACTTCTGAATTTTAAAGAAAAGCATTTGATGCTTTTAAACCTCCGTTGATTGACATGTGGACAGCCTTTTCGTTTTCTTTGTTGTGTTTTGCATGAGTGTACGTAGCAACGTTTACCATTATGTGACGATTTATTTCGCATGCTCCACGTTGGGCGCCATTTGAGAAGTGATCATCACGTTGATTTCTCGTGATTTGACCCCTTGTTGCAGGTGCGGTCGGCCTCCTTCGATGAGATGCAACTGGAGTCGCAGCGTGCCTCCTCCAGCCTGCTCAAGCAGCAATCCTCGGCAGAAGAACGCTCCTCGGAGGCCGGCTTGTTGCAGGTTCCTTTGGCGGCTCATCAACAACGCTCGCACAGCTTCGACTCGGCAACCGCTACGGGTGGCAGCGATGATTCCGGCACCTTCTTGGAGGTGCCGCCGCGTATGAAGGACCGTCGCCGAAGTTCGTCCACCAAAACACCACCGCCCTGCGTCCACTGTCAGTATGTGGAGGAGTACGAACGCCGGATGACCGCCGATCAGCGTTACTTCATCGATCACCGAGAGCTCTCGGCACTGAGCTATAGCAACACCAGTTCGGATGAGAGCGAGGACGAGGAGGACAACAACAATCCCGAGGAGGAGGAGGAGGGCAGCACGGCCATCGAGGATGCCGAGGAGGAGACCACCGAGGCGGCAACCGAGGAGGCGGACGAGGATCCTCGCACCGAAGTCGAATCCGAGCACGATCACGATCCGGACGACGATGCCGCCGTCGAGATGGACATTCGCATTGGTAACATCAGTCAGGGCAGTAGTATCGAGGAGTCTCGAGCCCGCTTGCCGCGACAAATGCGACGCCACACCATTGGCAGCAGTTCGGTGACCTCCGCTTCGGAGGACGAAGGCTTGGAGGGATCCGACAATGGGTCACCGCACTTTGGCAACACCCTGTTGCCCCCGCAACCGGCAACACCGTGCGGCATTACCTTCACGCTGAGTCCCACCAACGGGGATTATCCATCGCCACCGCATCTTCCATTGGATCCCGGCTCGCCACCGATGTCCCCGTGCTCCTCCGCCTCGGGAAGACTACCGATTTTGGCGCCCACTATTTCCACGGCCTGCTCGTCGGCGGATGCCGATGATGCCGGGGCAGCCATGGGTTTGCCGGTCCGAACCCGTCGCCGTTCGATTTCGCGACAGGAGGCCATCTTTGTGGAGCCCACTGGCAATTCACTCGAGAATGTTTCGCACGAGGAGGTGGACAACAGCAACACCAAGTCATCGGTGGACACGGCCGATTCGCTGGAGGAGGCGTCCACCATGGCCACCTGTGGTTCGCCAGGCGCTGTGGGTGGTGCCGGCACCTCTGGCGGTGGCCATCACAATGCTTTTGTGGTCAGGGATATATATCTAACCGTGCCCGATTTGAAGCGAGATCGTGCTGCCTCGGTGGACTCGTGCTTCTCGAAACTCTCGACGGGACCCAAAACGGAGGAGCTGCAACCGAGCGCCGATGGCTGTTTCCTCACAGTTCCGAACATTAATGCAACGCGATCGCGTTCCGTGGACATCGTCCTGCCCACCGACGAGCAGGCCAGGTACAAGGCCTTGTCCATGACAGGATCTGGAGCCAACTACGCAGATGGGTAGGTACCATTCGAATTCAGATGATGGATGATGGTTGCTGCCACTCCTTTTGTATATTTCTTAAATACTTTCTCGGTACAACAACCCCAAAATGTTCTTTTATTTATGCAACATTTATTGATCTGTATAATTTCAAAATATGGTTACAAAATTTTATACATTTCTGGGATATTTTCTTAGTTTAACAATACAACAATTTCTTGATTCACAAATCATAAATTTATAAAAACAACATCCTTTATTTTTTCTTTTATATATATTTTTCATATTTTTCGTTTGCTTCAAATGTTAATGGAAATTCCTTTTTTTACAACTTTCCTCTAATATCTGTTGACTTTGAAACGTACATGACAGCTGCCTTTGGGGGAAAAGGGTCGAAATTTAAAGAAACAAAGTGTAAACTAGTGTTATCTTTATGTCAGAGTTCACCCAAGAGTTTTAAGCCCTGTTCCACCTGACGTACACCAATTTAGACTGAAGTTTACATTGACTTTGGGCTGGAAAAAAGCCGCCCAATAGTTGAAATGCTTGGATGGGTTCACCCTTCATTGTTTACTTTCGGTTTCACTTTGCCAGAGATTTAGGACTCGGCCCAAACTCCTCGGCAAATCCCCTTTTAGGTTGGCTGGTGGCTATTTTTAGAGCGGCAAACTTTTAAATTGACTCATTAAAACAAGCTTAACACGTGGCACTGGCTTGGTTTTTGGCTCGACGATGGACTGGAGTTGTAAACCTGCTTGTTTAGATCAATTTTAGACTAGGATACCTCCTACCTCATACCTCGAATCCTGAATTCTGAATCCAGAATCCCGAATCGCACTTATCCTGCGTGTGTGACACATGTGCCTTTTGGGGGGCGACACTTTAGGTGTCCGCTGGTGTCCGTCATTTGGACAACTCCCACCGACTTAAGCCTAATTAGAAACGAAAGCCTCGGTCCCGGGCCATTCATAATTCTCGCCAAGTTGGCCCACTGCGGACGTGGCCTAAAGCGTGCCGTATGCCAACCCTCGGCTTGAATAAATTATGGCGGCCCGCACGAAAAAATAAGCCGGACAAGGAAGACTGAAAACTGGCAGTGCTGAGACTTTAAATGCCCTTCAAATAAATCATGAGATGGTTTTCTTTTTTTATGGGGAATTATGGAATATATAAATCTTTTCTTGCTTGTGAGATTAAAGAAAAGTTTTCTCTTATGATAATCATAAGGGGCTTAAAATAGATTAGAAAGTTTAGCAGGACGTAGGCTCAATATTGTTTTTATTTGTTATCTTATAAGATGTTATATCAAATAAGATGTTATAAATAGATAATATATCTCTAAACTAGAAAAATAGTCATATTTTTATCTAATTTATGTTCATATATTTTAGTTTATAATCTTTTTCTTTTGCACATAAATTAGCATGCCCACTGAAGTGGTAGTAAAATTGGCTCAGCGAACCGATTTCCTTGAATTACAACAAAAGCCGCTCATAAATAATATTCAAACAAAGTGTCCCGTGTCCGTTGTCCTCTGTCCGCTTGTCCGCTTGTCCGTTGTCCTCTGTCCGTTTGTCCGCATATCCCATTGCCCGGAATGACAAGAAGCCAACTCAACTGCGGGGAAGAAAATCCTCAAAGTGCGAGGCTGACGAACCACTTGCGGGCAATTTGTTTCACTGCACCAGCCATTTGTGGAGTCCACTCCCATTTGGAGGGAACCGATATGGCAATGGATAATTCACAACTCTCCTCTGATGGATTAGATAGATTAAGACTCCCCGTGTGCGTGTGTGCCGCTTTCCCGTGGCGAGAACTTGCCCAGAAACCGAGAACCCAGAAACCGAGAACTCAGAACCCAGAAACCCGATTCCCGACCGCGGAAAATTAATTAGCTTAGTGCGGGTTTATCATGGCAAACAGAGCGAGAGACTACCGATAAGTGTTTACTATTATATCACAATGAAGGTTAACTGAAGTAAAACATTAATCGGATTTACACAAGACCAAGTAAAAATCAATAAAAGTTTTATATTATTTTTCAACATTCTCAATTGCATTGCCTTTCATTCATTGAAAAATTAATAAAAATCCACCTCTGGCACTTAAAAAATTACCGAGGCACTCATTTTGTATACTGTGCACATGAAAACGAGTAAATATTTTTATAAAATGAATAATTTGTATTATCGCTTCTCTACTTGCAGGTACGTAAACATTGGTTAACCCTTGACTGCCCCTTTTGCACTCGAAGATAAGTACTCGAAATGAAAATGAATTAATATTAAAACGCGTTCAGCATTGGGATGTTTTCCTTTAATGCCGGTATCTCTTTTAATTTCCGATTCATGTTGCCCCAATTTATGGCCATTTATTGTCCCGTATGTGGCCATTAAAATCTCTCCTCAGGGTTTAGCCATTAGTGGGACTCCATTGCGATGCTTGGGTGCTTCCTTCGAATCTTATTCTTTCTTATTATTATTATTATTTTTTTTTTGATTGTTTGGCATGGCCTCTCATAAAGTTGGATCTGCTGATTTACGATACCGAAGCGTGACACGTTATTATCTCCCGTTGAGGCTCACATTTCGGGCTTCCCATTCAAAGGCAATTTCGAGCATTGACCACTGACTGATATGTTTAATTCGCTGCAGGACCCTTTGCTCGATAAAATGTGAAATATTATAAAATCATTCAATCATGCGACGCATGCCGGACACTGCAGCCATTTGTTCTGCCTCTCGGATGCGGTCTACACTTCGATTAAGACTTTTGAACTCTGGGGTTGTACATACATTGATTTATGCACTCGAAAGAAAAGAATTCTAAGCTCCAAATCCTTTACTATTTAATTGTCATTTAATAAATAACCATTCAGTTATTCAATTACTATTTTTAATAAACAAAATTAATAGCAGTTATCAGGCAAACTTAAATTAGGTTTTGTTTTTAATAAACGAGTACTGATTTAATTGTTTGAAAAATTAAATGTTTTACTGCACTTTTCTCCCAGTGTATCGGTGAAGCATTCGTGCGTCTTTTCTTGGTTTCTGCTGTCTGTCCCCGGGGCGTGTGCGGTTCATTCATGCGACTTTGGGTCCTCCAGACATTCCGCTGGGTTTCCCTAACCTTCTCCGCCCACACAATCGCCTCCTTATCCAACAACCCAACCAGCAAACCAGCCAACCACCAACCACCCACCCGCACAACACAACAACAATAGCAACAAAAACAAAGCCAAAAACAATAACAACAAGAGACATTGCCACCAGCCATCGAACAAGAAGAAACAAAAAGTTAACTTAACTTTTATGACAATGGGGCAAATAATTTTATGAAAATACTCCCTCGGGGGAGAACTATATGCCACGGAACCTTTCACTTTGGCGGTTCGATTGGTCGGGGAGAGGGTGAGGGGAGAGGGGGAGGGGAAGTGGAAGTGGGAAAGAGAGGGAAAGGTGGAGAAAGCAAAGTTTTGCATACATGAAATTAGCATACAACACTCGAGGGATATGCGATTGTGTTCCAAATTCGCTTTATTCCCTGATTGAGCTAACTGTTTAGCTGGCGCAAATTTATGGGCATTTGTTCAATTTATGTGCTTTTAAAAATATTAAAGATATTTTTAAAGAGATGAGAATATCTAATACTGTTCCAAAAACAAATGTTTTCCTATTGTAACGAGATCTGTAACCTTTATCAATTATTTTCTTATTAAAAAAAGCTATTATCATTACTTTGTATGAATTCAAGTGTTATCCATATTTATCTGCAATCTCGATTATTTGCTTGTTGTTCCAAAAATCCGCTTTCCAACTCCCCGAACCAAAATAACAATTTAGACCAAGACAATAAAACTCTTGAACCAGGAAAAACAGAAGATGATAAATGAATCGCTTTAGTCTGTCTTCAGTTCCAGTTGTATTATTATTTTATTCATTCTTTTTTTTTTTCTTCAGATTTGTTGTTTTTGTTTTCGCCCAGTTCCGCATTTTGCTGACGCAGGCGGCATGCAACAAGAGCGGCATGCAACAACAGCAACAACAGCAACATCAACAGCAGCAACAACACTCATCTACAATTAAGTTTTATGAAACATTTGTTTGGTTTTTTTTTTTGCGTTTTTCTCGCGTTTTTTCTGTTGCCACAACTACGTCAGCATCTGTGAGTGTGTTTGTGTGTGTGTGTGCGAATGTGTATGTGTGGGTGGGCGAAAAGGGGGTGGACAAGGGCGTAGGTGAGGCTGGGCAGCGCGCATGGAGGCGAAATTGAAATGCAAATTGAAAGGCACAAAGCGAAAATACGCCAAGCGAAACTGAACAATCAAGGCGGCCAACAAAAAAAGAAGAAAAAAAAACAGAGACCGCAGCAAAAGCAAAAACGTCAGCGACTGAAAACTGCGGCAGAGCTAGAAAATGTCACCATCACCATCACCATCACGATCCAAATGGAAAATCGCTGGCAAAACAACGGCCGAAAAAAAAAAAACTTAAAGAGAGATCGCTGCCAGAGATGCCAAAAGTGCCAAAGTGCCAATAGAAATTGTGCGAGAATTGTTGATAGAACTTAAATAAAAAAAAAAAAAAAAACTAAAAAATTATCATAATAATCTGATTGCAGTCATAACCAGAATTTAAAAATTATTATTTTAATTGAATTGTTGAAATACGATGAAAATGTTTTCGGTTTATTTTTATTTTATTTTATAATCTAAAACAAAAAAACAAGACACTTCTCTCTGAAATCTTTATTAATTATATTGATAATCAAAAATGAAATTAACGTTTAATCAATTATAAAAAACATTGTGGTGCTCTTTTGTTGCTCTTTATGTTGTTTTCAATATTATTTCAACTGAAGGTTAGTATTAATGCCTAGGAGAGGAACTAGGGAAAATGTCACAATTTTCGTTGGCTAATTTTCCAGCTGATCTTGGCCATCTGCTCACCGCCGATCGCTGCTGTTGGCGCTGCGGAAAACTCACCACGCTGCGTTGCGTTGAGCGGAATGGCGAAAA